GCAGTGGTGCCATCTTTGCTTTCTGCAACCTCTGCCTTCTGAGTTCAAGTGATTCTCCTGCCAAAGCCTCCCAAGTAGCTGGGATTACAGGTGCCCACCACCATGCCCAGCTAATTCTTTTATATTTTTAGTACAGTTGGGGTTTCACCATATTGGCCAGGCTGGTCTCGAACTCCTGACATCCAATGGTCTGCCTGCCTCGGCCTTTCAAAGTGCTGGGAGTACAGATGTGAGCCACCACACCAGGCCAGGACTTAGTCTCTTTAAGTGAAAATGTGCCATCTCTCAAGCCGACTCAATTTTCCACTATGTAATGCGCAGAATTTGGTTGCTAAATATTTTCAGGAGAAATGTTAATATTAAAGATATTTCCAGGATTCTGAATTTTAAAACAATCAGATCTTCGTGAATTTTGGCTCCCTGCAGTCATGTTTCTGTTGTGTAACAGCCAGGAGAGAACGTCCTGCTTCCTGACTGTGGTGAACGTAAGGGTTCTCACTTCCCTCTTGCCATGAAAACAAAAAACCTCATGAAGTCGATGAAAGGATTCTTTCCACCAATCATTTTCTGCATTATCCCATTTACCAACTTTACCCCTTATAGAGGATGAGACATTTTGGGCTCACCAAGTAGTTCATATACGAGTACTCTGTCTTTTCTGCCATATAATTGTCATCCCATACCTTGCTCATTTGAAAAAAACCTGGTGCATTGCAGAGTACTATGATGTGACCCAATTTTGTGTATATGTTGGGGTCAGGTATTTCTTTGATGCAAATGGAAATTTAGGGTTAGATATTCCTTGTTGAGTTGAGATCTTAACTAAACAGTAAATGGTATTCGGTATTCTTGTATTCTAACCTGGCCAAAAAAAAAAGGACCCTCTTTTGGTCAATAAAGAGGTGATGTTCTGTTACTAAGTTTGTTTTAATACTTGTTTCTAGAACACCTCTATTCACAAAAACCTCAACATCTAATGGCATTCCAGGTTTGTGAGAGACCCTAACATCCCAATATTGTTATGTCTATAGTTTCTCCACAATGACTAAGTACTTCTTTGGTCTACTTATGTATAAAGAAAGTCCTTTTAGGTAAATAAACAGATAAAGTGTTTTTAGGTGAATGATTTTCATAGAGAATTTACTTCTTATTTGCCAACAATAGTGCTTGTCAGTAAAACATGTGGTGGTTGACTTCTTTCACAGCTTTCTTTGGCAATAAAAAGAAGTCCTTAGATAATGAAAGGCGGGTTAGTTTAGGATAAAACTTTTATTAGTTCTCTTATGTACCCAGAAGCCTTTGTACTGAGTGTTCTGCTAAAGTGAAAAAAAAGAGAAAGAAAGAAAAGAAAAGAACAACAACAAAAGGAATCCAAACTCCTCCACTACCAAAATCTATGGGCTGTTTGCCATCTTCAAAACATTATGCCAGGCATAGGATGTGGTTTCAGCTCCAGGTAAAAAGTACCTTATTTTCCACTTCTTCAAAAACTAGGCCTTAAGATAGCAAATTCTAGTTACAGAGGGAGAATAAATAGCCTCTGGAGAAAGAAGTGAGAAATGTATGACATGATTTTTACACCTAGGGTCTTATTCCAGCTCTAAAGTTCTGTGATTCAAAGATCTGTGAAAAGCATTCGTAATACTCATTGTGCAAAGAGATAAAAAAATGATGAGGTAGCATTATGGATCTAAGACATTCCAGGATAACACACTGCTGTGGTACTGGGCATCTTTTATGTCCCATCTCACAGCCTCTTGGCCAGCCTTTCACGCCAGCCATTGCCACTGCACCTTGATTTAGCTGCCCCATACTCCTGCTTCTCACCCACAAACACACTTTTGTGTTGCCTTTCCCTCCTTCCCTGTTTCACCCTTCCCATTTCCCCATTCCTGTTTCCTACAATCACTTCCCCAAGTAAACTGTCTGCATGCAGGTCCTGCTTTCTGGAGAATCTTAGGCCAAGACTGTCATCAGGTACAGGTATAGAGTTACTTTCAGAAAAAGTGACATTCAAAAATCAAAATTCGGCCAGGCACAGTGGCTCACATCTACAATCCCAGCATTTTGGGAGGCTGAGGTGGGACGATCACTTGAGGTCAAGAGTTCGAGACCATCCTGGCCAACATGGTGAAACCCCATCTCTACTAAAAATACAAAAATTAGCTGGGCGTGGTGGCACCCATCTGTGATCTCAACAACCGTGGAGGCCAAGGCAGGAGAATCATTTGAATCTGGGAGGCAGATGATGCAGTGAGCCGACGTCCCACCACTGCACTCTAGTCTGTGCAAAAGAGCAAGATGCCATCTCAAAAAAAAAAAAAAAATCAAAACTCAGAGAAAAGATTATTTAAAGGGTCATTTATGTCATAACTTTTAGTAAAGTATATCTTAGCAAGTATTTATGGGTTAACTAAAATATTATTCTGTTTATTAACAAGTAATTGGGCCAGGCGTGGTAGCTCACACCTGTATTCCCAGCACTTTGGGAGGCCGAGGCGGGTGGATCACTTGAGGTCAGGAGTTCGAGACTACCCTGGCCAATAAGATGAAACCCTGTCTTTACTAAAAAAAAAAAAAAAAAAAAAAAAAAAAAAAAAAAAAAAAAAAAAAAAAGAAAGGAAAAAAAAGAATATAAGTACAGCATTTTAGCAACACATTTATTATCCAAAAGCATAAGTTAAAAATATTATCCTGTCTGTTCCAAAAACAAAACTCAAACAAAATAAAAGCCAGAGTAGTTCTGAAATAAATGAAAATAACTGCCATTTAAAAGCATTTGTCCTCTCAAAGCCTTGTAATTCCTTTGAAAAATGTAATTACCTCTGAATGAAGCACTGGGTTCCTTGTTTAGTTGCAGTCTTCTCTTTTCAGGCAAATGCCCACAACCCTGTCGAAATGGAGGTAAATGCATTGGTAAAAGCAAATGTAAGTGTTCCAAAGGTTACCAGGGAGACCTCTGTTCAAAGCGTAAGTACCCCATACACATTGCCAATCTGGGCTATCGGGTCATTAAACTAGCAGGAGGCTCTCACTACATACTTCTGTGCCTGCTGCATGTTGCCTGGGTATCACATTTAACCTTTCTTCACTGACATATATGCTTCCTTATGTAGACCAGAGGTGTTGCATGAAATCTGTGCATGTAAAATAATGGGTACTTACACATGCAACTGAATGTTTTAACTAAAAATGTTGGGGTTTTGTTGTTGTTTGTTTTTTTGTTTTTTGAGACAGTGTCTCACTCTGTCGCCCAGGCTGGAGTGCTGTGACACGATCTTGGATCACTGTAACCTTCACCTCCCCGAGTTCAAGCGATTCTCCTGCCTCAGCCTCCTGAGTAGCTGGGGCTACAGATGCCCGCCACTGCACCCAGCCAACCTTTGTATTTTTTAGTAGAGATGGGGTTTCACCATCTTGGCCAGGCTGGTCTTGAACTCCTGACCTCATGATCCACCACCTCTGCCTTCCAAAGTGCTGGGATTACAGGCGTGAGCCACCGCACCCAGCCCGGTGTTTTCTTAAGGAAAATAAACTTCTCTGGCCCAGCAGTTTCAAAATCCTACTGAACAGCTTTTGTGAATGAAAACTATCATGCTTAAAGATCATTCTCAGGACTTTACGAAAAGTCCAAAACCAACTTATAGCTGGAGATTGACTTAGGAAAAAGAAAGTAGGGGATGAAGCCAAAACTAACACATTCTAAAGAACTGCAAGGAAAGCAACTATGTAATTCTGTTGAAAAAGGAAAGCTCAGGAAATATTCTTTTATTTCCTTTGATTCTAGCTGTCTGTGAGCCTGGCTGTGGTGCACACGGAACCTGCTATGAACCCAATAAATGCCAATGTCAAGAAGGTTGGCATGGAAGACATTGCAATAAAAGTGAGTGGGAGAAATAAAAAGTTGTAAACAAGGAAAAAAATAAAAATAAAAGTGAGTGGGAGGCCAGAAGGAGAGCCAGCCTTTCACTTCTGTTTCTTGGCTTCGAAGGCTAACAATCAACCTATAACTCAGCCCTGCTTTCCATTTCATTAAAAGCAGCTTCTTCTCTGCCTCTTCTCCACCTCTTTAAACTTTAGAATCTAAGCTTTGGTGTGTAAAGAGTGATGCACCTTTATAAAAGATCACATCTGTAAAATATCACAAATATTTTCTAGGCTAAATTAGTAATACAGGTTGATTTGGGGTAATACAGTATGTTAACTATGAAAGAAATGACACATGAAATTAAGATTTTAAATCAAATGTAGAATACTGATTTTATAATTATAAAATCAGAGAGTTTATAATTCATGGTTTGCCAAGTACCATTATAAAACATGAAACATTTTGCTTCTTAAAATATTTAAATTGTATTAGCAATGGTAAATTAATGAGTTCCTTTGAGGGAAAGAAAAGGTTTATAAAGCTGTCTGTGGGAGAGATGTTATAATGGAGTTGCATTTTTTCAAATTTACTGACTACCAAAAATGAGCTAGCTATGTAGATAAACAGCTGGCCTATTTTAGACACACAATGAAACTTGCTACATTCATTCAGTATTGATTGGGGTCTCTCCTGTGCTAAGTATGAATCTAAGCACTGGGGACACGCCAGTGCACAGAAAAGGCCGTGCCTTATGGAGTGGGAGGGGCAGTCAGTTAGCAAATTAACAAAACAACACCGCTTCAGCACTTCTGGCAGCTAGAATTCAGTCTCTTAAGCATGGGCCCACCGTCCACTTCAGTTTGAAGAAAGGAAGACTTCAATCACATACCATACTCTTCAAAAACATGATTCCAAGCTGAGAGTGGTGGCACATGCCTGTAGTCAAAGCTACTTGAGAGGCTGAGACAGGAGGATTTCTTGAACCCAAGAATTTGAGATCAGCCTGGGGAACATAGCAAGACCCTGTCTCTAAAAATTAAAAAAAAATTCACACAATTTTAGGTTGTGTCTACCATATTATGTCTCCAAAGCAATTCATGCAAATTGAACAAATCAGATGTTTTCCTAGATCAGCATTCTCCAAAGGTTGGTGCATGCAACTCAGTGAGTGTGAAAATTATCTGCTGGGGTACTAAGGGAATATATTACTTTTTAAATATTTTTATATTTTATATTTGATTCATATTTATATATAAATATACATTTAATATATTATAGTCTTTCTAATTTCTAAGTTTTGCTTATATTTTACAATGTTTATATTGTATTAATGTATAGCTAATAAATTTATATGTAGTTATACATCTGTTTACTTTAAGGTAGGTTGGTGTCTGCTGTAGGCTACATGTATTAGTCTCTTCTCATATACTGCTATAACGAACATCCAGAGACTGAGTAATGCCTAAAGGAAAGAGGTTTAATTGACCCACACTTCCATATGGCTAGGGAGGCCTCAGGAAACTTACAATCATGGTAGTAAGGCAAAGGGGGGCAGGTACTTTCTTCACAAGGTGGAAGGAGAGAAAATGACAAAAGAAAGAACGTGCCAAGTGCTTAAAAAACCATCAGATCTCATGAGAACTCACTCACTATTATGAGAACAGCATAGGGGAACCACCCCCATGATTCAATTACCTCCACCTGGTGTCTCCCTTGACACAAGGGGATTACAAATCAAGATGAGATTTGGGTGGGGACACAGCCAAACCATATCACTACACTAAGCCACTGATTTGATTCTTTTTCACCCATCGAATTGACTAGATGGTTGATTAAATTGGCTTCATGTGGACACAGTTTAGCAAACAGTGCAGCTGCTCTGGAAAATTGCTTTTCACATGGTGGGAATGGTTGAATGGCATCCCTGCTAGGACCTACTGATAAGGAGATCTTCTTTGGACTAAAAGACCTGTAGAAGACTCACTATTTCTAGCCATTTTGGAAAAGAGTAAACCGAAGCCTTTATGCAACCCTCAACTGGAGACAAACCCTGAGGCTTGTCTCAGAATCAAAATAACTTTCAAAAATCTTAAAACCTAGGTCAGACCACACATCCCAGGACTTAGTTACAAAAGTCTTCTAAGACTCACATCCAGGTCCCAGTGATCCCCGCAAGTGACGAAAAAGGGAGCACAAGGGCACTGTTACTTCTGATGCACCCAGTCATTCTTTCAAAGAGAAAGCTAGTTAGGGGCTCTCGTGTAGTAGATGAGCCCTCATGACAGGTCTGCAAGCCTCCAAATAGCACCCCCACTTGGAGATTATGCTGCTGAAATCTTCTGCCATCAGTGTGCCTCCTTCAAATCCAAGCATTGCATGCCAAGAAGATGACCTGGTGTTTGACTAAAAAGCAAATGTGTTTTCCAGGAGAGGACACACAGCCCTTTTGTACCTTAGCTAAAATAATTGAGCTAAAAGAATGGGGTTTATTTTGATTAGAGGGAGGTGACAAGGAAGGTCTGAGGCATAGAGTTCTGCTAAGAACATACTCCCAGTGGGGTGACACGTTGGGAGGTCCCAGGGACCCAGGCATCATGGTGGGGAGGAGGATACTGGAGACAGATATCCCCACATAGGCTCACTCTTGCTGACAGGGAGGTTTGGGCTTCATGGGTGGCAGACCAAGCAACATGGTAGGAATTTATTCCAGCTCATTGCTGGCTCAGGTTTTGACCGCTCCACAAGCTACTAGACTATATACTGACAATTCAAAGGAACACATTCAGAGACAAAGTATTCTATTCTCAGTAGCTGCCTAATGGCATGTTTGCTTTTAAAAACACAAGGAACAAATGAATGCTGAATTTAACTCTGATGCACAAGAAGATGGAGGCAGATTTTTACAATGTAATTTGTTGCCTTGGATCAGTTTTAGGAAATGAGAAATGAGTCAGTGCCTCCAAGCATCACCCCAAGTAGGAGAAGGGAGGTCTGAAGTTGTGTAACTCAGTACATTCCATTTACCACCCAGCTAGAAACAGATAGATGCCCACCTTGACTGAAACACAAATCTCAATTGATGAGTCAGTTCAAATCTTAACCTTTTCCCAAATACATATAATGGAAGTCCTTAATTTTTATAAAATTCCCATTTTATAAGTGCAGTAGCCATACCCAATCATGTGATCTTTATGAAGAGTAGGTTGTTACATTGAACTGGATCAATATCAGCTAGATTAGGTTTGCAATGCAATGAAAAGGATGAATGACCAAATCTGCAGCTACATTCAAAACTTCAATGCTACATCCTTACCCACCCTTGGATGGAGACTAATCTTCCATTCAGTCATATTCACCCAGACTTTGCATCAAGAGATTCTGCATGGCCAAAATATATAATGAATGAGAAATCTGATGGAAACTTGGTTTCTTGGAGCTGGTAAAATGGGTTGCTCTTCACAAAGATCTCTTCATTCAGGTAGCTTTTTGTGGTCATTGTGGTTTTTTACTCTGGGATGAAAAGGCAAAAATGGATTTCATCTGAATGGTTAACAATGAATTTGAAGAGCCTGGTTTTGTAATTTCTTTCCTTTTAAGCTGCAAATAATTTTGCAGGGTACGGAGGCAGCCTTCTACATGCCCTGAGGCCAGCAGGCACCCAGCTCGGGCAGCACACGCCTTCACTTAAAAAGGCCGAGGAGCGGCGGGATCCACCTGAATCCAATTACATCTGGTGAACTCCGACATCTGAAATGTTTTAAGTTACACCAAGTTCATAGCCTTTGTTAACCTTTTATGTGTTGAATGTTCAAATAATGTTCATTACACTTAAGAATACTGGCCTGAATTTTATTAGCTTCATTATAAATCAATGAGCTGATATTTACTCTTCCTTTTAAGTTTTCTAAGTGTGTCTGTAGCATGATGGTATAGATTTTCTTGTTTCAGTGCTTTGGGACAGATTTTATATTATTTCAGTTGATCAGGTTAAAATTTTCAGTGTTTAGTTGGCAGATATTTTCAAAATTACAGTGCATCCATGGTGTCTAGGGGCAGGGGAACATTAGAAAGGTTAAAATGGGCAAAAACGCGTAAGTCACAAGAATTTGGATGGAGCAGTTAATTATGTTGGAGTTACAGCATTTCAGATTTTATTGTCATATATTTAGATGTTTGTCACATTTTGAAAATTTGCTCCTAATTTTTAAACTCTCAATACAATATATTTTGACTATCATTATTCCAGAGATTCAATATTAAAAAAATTACACTGTGGTAGTGGCATTTAAACAATATAATATATTCTAAAAACAATGAAATATGGAATATAATGTATGAACTTTTTGCATTGGCTTGAAGCAATATAATATATTGTAAACAAAACACAGCTCTTACATAATAAACATTTTATACAGTTTGTATGTATAAAATAAAGGTGCTGCTTTAGTTTTCTGAGTGTTATATGGAGGTGGTCTTTGCACATGCTATCTTATGAAAATAAAGTTGGTTGCAATTTAGTGGTAGTTAATATTTCTAGTACCATAACAAAAAAACACAAAGCTATTCCATTGTCTGGCCCTGCCGTAGCTCTTCAGTGTCAGCCCTCCCTCCCAGCTCTCTGACTGTATTGCAGCTATGCCTTATTGCACTCTGTTGTCACCACCTGCAACACTCCTTTTTATGTCAGGTCTCAGCTTGTTATTTCTTTCAAGAAGTTCTCACTAACTAGAATGTGTTAAATATCCCTTTAGTGGAAGACTTTCTAAAGGGTCAGAATGTTACAAATGAAAAGGCTACCTACCATGTATTAAAAACCTATTGGTCCTATGATTTAAGGGAGCCTAGCAGAAACAAAACAAAACAAACAACCCTACCTGCTCCCAAGTCTAGTACATAGGTTATGTTATAATTCTATGAGGCAGGTATCATTACGCCCTTTTACAGATCAGAAACTGAGCCTTGGAGACAGTAAGCTCTCACGTGACAGGGACAGGGTTTGAATCTGTCATCTGACTCCAGAGTGTTAACACTATGCTGCTCTCCCTCCTTCCTTTTTCTAAGCAGACACAATAGAATATAAAGCTCCACAAATCCTAGAGAGCAGCTTTCCAGCATATGTTATTCTGATTCTCCCAAGGCAATGTGCACTTAATTTCATAGATAATCTAATGTCTACAGATTTTCTTTCACTAGGGTGTGGCATGATCAGTTGTGTGATGTAGGGAGGTGACTTGATGACCGGAAGGGATCCAGGGAAAGGCTCTGGCTGAGTGAACACATCTTTTGATGCAGTGTAGGACCACACAATCTCTTCTCTAACTGGGAGAGCCCAGCCCATCAGCCTGTAGTCATGTAGACTTGGCAAAGCAGGCCAAGAGCCAGTGAACAAACCTTGGGATCCACTATTGAAACAATTCATTTATCTAAAGTTTTTAAGTAAGCAAAAATCCCTGATAATGAAGATTAAGATGGTAGCAGAAAAGTCAAGTTTGGCAATAGGATAATAATCATAGCTAAGGCATATGGTGCTTGCTTTGTTCTAAGCACTTCAGTTGTATTAATGAACAGATGAATAATAGAATGGTAGGGAAGTTAGTCCAAAACAAAGGGACCAACTGCAATAATCTTGGTTGGTCATCTCTGAACCATTTTAATTGCATACTTCATTAGACATTTTTGAGCACATAGTCCTATATATTGCCACTATTTACATGGATAACTGTACTAATATATGCATCATAGAAGTCAGAAATGTTACAAGGAATAGAAAAAATAGAATAGAAAAGGCCATTAATTGTAATTTTATGGGATATGAAATCATTGTCATTGCTGTTATGGAAGTTACCATACAGCAGAAGGTGGAGGGGAAGGAAGAAGACAAAGGAAGAAAAGGAGAATAGTATCTGCATAAAACACTTCTAAACAAGAATTTAAAAGTTAAAGGAATAAGGAGTTAAGGCAGTCTGAAAAGACATATACCATTGGCAAGATAAGTAGGAAAAATGAGGAAAAAGGAAATAAAGTGTAGACAATACAATTGGTGGAGGAATGAGAATTAGACCAAAGGCATCTATGAGTTCCTGCGCACTTGTGATAGGTGGACCATATACTTCTCTCTCTCTCTCTCTCGCAAGTGTGCAGGAGCTCATATGCACCTTTTGTCCTAATCTCATTCCTCAAAGAGGGAACCATGGTTGGTTAGGAGGCCCAAAGACCTTAAGACATGAAAACTAGCTGTCAGGAGAGGTTAGACTATATGAGGTACTTCTATCTGGGAAAGATCAAGAGGTGTAGGTCTGCGGGAAAGCTACATTTTTTTTGGCCTCTCTTCAGGCTGATAATCTTTAAAATATTTCTTTCAAATTTTTTTAAAGAGGAACTTCACGAAAAAGAGATGAAAAAGAAGATGCTGACAGGGTTCAGCTTCTCTTCCACTATCCCAGGCTATATGTCTCCAGCCCTGAAATCCTTTTCTGTTCTGTAAAAAATTACAAATGCAATGTAATTTTCATTAAGCATTGCAGAATTTTTCCCGGGCAACCTCCTCACCAACCTCTCTTCACTCCCCCTCTCCCCTTACCACCTTTCTCAGTCTCTGGCATCTGTCATTTTATTCTCTTTGGCACAATTTTAGATTTATATGCTAGTTATGACCCTAGATAACATAGCCTTTAAGCCAGATCTCACTGAGAGCAGAGAAATGTCTTCTATGGTTCTCATAAAGAAGTCAGAGTGTCATGTAATACACAATGCTTTCAGTATTATGGACAGACTAATATTTTCATATTCTTCATGAAGGCACAAATCTTCACTATAAAGTACAGTTTCATAAAAGCATTTCTACCAAGGTAGCAGAGGAGAAGGGGATATAGCAAAGTGAGCAATGCTTACATTGAGTAAAGAAGAAATATTGTCATTTCAAAAGAATTTCCTAAGGCAATAAAAAAGGAAGAAAGAAAAGAAAAAAAAAGACACACAAGACTATTTAAATAAGGAGTTTTGTAGCAATAATTCTTAGCTTGTACAACTGGTGCAAATATAAAAATTTAATAAGCACATTGAATAAATGAGGCTCCATATGGCACAACATAAAAAATAGAAACCATATACAGGAAACAGACATCATAAACCAAAGTATTCAGGTGTTCAGTAAGATTTTTTAGAATTCTAATATAAACTCCAAATGTAAATTGATTTTGCACCTGTTTACTGGTTTATCATTGATGAGTATCAAAATTACAAATGAAAGGTAATTTTCATTGAGCTTTGGCATTGTAGGATTTTTCCTGGGCAACATATTTGCCTCCGTCCTCACATTCAGCTTGCATAACTGTTGAAATTACCTGACTTTTCTTGAAAGTCCAAACCAACAAGAGTGCATGGGATGGCCAAAAAAAAAAAAAAGCTACTCAGATAACAAATAATCCACACAATCCACAGAAGGGTCACTGAAAGCTGATTTCTCATAGGGTGAGTAATCAGCCTCCTGCACCAGAGACCATGACAATGGAGAGTCTAGCACTGAGCATGGTCCTGAGCCTGGATCGAACCATGAGTGAGAAGAAAGCAGACAGCCCACACTATCTACAACCCAGGAGAAGAACAGGCTACAAAATTTGAGAGGCCTGGAGTAAAAATGAAAACGTAGAACTCCCTGTGCAAAAAGTATTAAAATTTTCAAGATGGTGACAACAGAGTATGCAACAAGTGTGAGATCCTTCTCAAAGCAGGGCTCTGTGCAACCGCACAGTCCCCACACCATGAAGATGGCCCTGTCTGGGAGTAAGTTCTTGGGTCCATGTATGAAGAAGTTTGGGTAAAATGGAAAACATCCCCCTCTCCTTAGGCACTGGCCTCTTCCCTTGCCTTTCTCTTTGCTTCAGCCCCATGGCTGACTGTAACAACCCAGGCCTTGAGAACGAAATAATCATTAGCCAACGAACCAATTATGTCAGTGACCATGTATTGAATTTTCTCTAAATTAATACTGCAAACACAAAATTAGGGAATAGAGTAGAGGGCAAATTGAGGGGACAAATATTTATTTGTTTTATGTTTTAGTCGTGTCAAATTCTTTGAAACTCAGTTCCTGCTTAGGAAAGAAAGAGTTTGTAGCTTTAAGTTTATAGCTCACAAAGGAAAGATATTTTTCAGAATTCTGTGAACAAGCTATCCTAACCCAAAAGATAATTTTGGGGTATTCCAACTCATAGTTGCTGTTCTTTATTAGAAAAACACATAGAAACCTGGCTGAGTTGGGATCTTAAGCCTTACGACAAAAAATAAATTCATCCCCAAACGTGGAAGCTTAATTCAATAAGAAGCCATATGACATTCTCTAGAAACCCTCAAAACAAATGTCCCCAAGGCCCAAATTAGTCTTGCCTCATTTCAAGAAAACACCCAAAATCAAAAAGCAAATCTGTGATTATTTTTTTTACTCTGTGAAGATGACCATTTCCTCAGAGTTTGCATTTGAGCCTAAAATATAACATGCTTTGAGGAAGAAACATGGGCATCCTCTGCAGAAGCAAAGCCAGCCATGGCACCAAGTCTACTGGGCACCTTGTCGAAAAATGAATCCTTGGCTGCGTCGTATGAGCTAAACCCAAGAATTCTACTGGAATTGTAAAGAACAAGTTTTTACTTTTCTGTCATTTAGATAGTCTGCTCTGGCTTGTTTATTTGGATTCTGTACTACCTTGTTTCTAATCCAAACCCAGCTGAGGAGGTGCTTCAGTGTAGTGAGCGGAGGTGAGCCTCAAGGCTGCACCCATCTGGCTCCACATTTAAGCCACCCTTGAAATAAGGATGTGAACACAGGTTATGCCACAACAACCTGTATCGATGCAACTGACTAAAGATATACTAAAGAAAATTACTGCAGCAATGCGCCTTTAGAAGGAAAAGAAAGAAAAGAAAAGAACCTTTGAAACAGACCAACAGGGTAAAAACTGAAGCAAGTGCCAGTGTCCACCAACGCTTTTAAGTGTGTGTCAATCTAAGGTCAGCATTCCACAGATGTGCCTTATTGAGAGTTTTAGAAGACTGGAGTTATAGGAGGACCCATGAGTTGGCTTTCTGCAAAGGAATGCTAGCCCAGCACAAAAGTAGTTTTAGAAACTTTTTAGAGAAATTCTCTGGAAATTTTGATTCACAGCATTTCTGTGAAGGGATTCAGTAAATCTACAGAGAAACTGAGGGCTAGGGTTTGCTGAAGATCACAAAACCACTTAGAAGCAATCACAACCCTAGTGTGAAGATTCCAAAATTGTGTCCTGGAAACACTAGTTGCTCAGAATATTAATAGGAGTTAGGAGAAAACAGGACTCTGGGGTCAAATATGTCTTGCAGATGAGGAATTACACTAAGGAGGTGTCTTTACAGCAGCACTCCTCAGGCCTTTACTGTGTGACTGTGTGCCATCATCTATAAGAGTGGACTGGTCTGCAGCA